CAAAGTCACATATCTTAAAGTTGCTGAGGTTGAGAAACACTGGACTAGGATCCACTAGAAGAGGTTTTATTACATCTGATTTGATTGAGTTGGACAATTTTGTCCAGCTGTGCAAAGGGCTCTTTGCATGGCTCACTTACTGCAGCAGATACCTTGATGATGGTTTCCAGAAGACATAAGTGAACAATGTCAGCTTCCATCCACACTAATCCACGGGGCAGCAAAAGCAATCCCAATGAGCAACATGTGAAAAATAGAAGGAAAACATAGACTAATCTGCCAGATTTGAGAGGCCCCCTTGAAAGGAAACATGAATTTATTTTAAATAAACTTTTAATTGTAGAATATGCATCTGGGAAGACTGATGTCAATGTTAAGCCATGATAGTGTTTGGCTTTGGCTTAATCATACATTTGTGTGGAGCTGAGATTTTCTTTCTGAATTGTAGGGGGGATTTGGGAGGCTTTAAAAAAAGCTGAACCTATTTTAGGGTGTTCATTAATGTCTTTTCCAGCTCAAAATGGAATGAAACCATACTACGCATTTCAGCAACTGTGGTCAGAAATGGCTCCCAGGCTGCCAAAAAATTATTTTTGCAGGATGTGCACTGTCTTGGGGTTTCACTTCACCCCAGATTTATGGCTCAGCTGCTTAGGCAAATCCAGCCAGCTATAACAGTACTGCATAGAGTTGGCTTTAACTGGGGACAAGGCAGATGATGGTTCACCCACACCCCTTCCCAAAGCTCCGTCCAAATATGAAAGGGGTTGCACTGCAAGGCAAAGAGAGAGGCACTCTGGGAAAAAAATGGCTGCTGTTCCCCAGTAGCGGGAAGTCTGTTGATTAACCCAGCGAGAAAAGTTCCTGTCAAGCTCTGCAAGGAGCTCCAGCTGGTGTTTGTGGGACAGCAACCTGGGTCAAGTCGAGGAAAAAGGAAAAGTTCCATCACGTTCCATAGGAAGGAGGGCAGCCAATGCTAGAGTTTGTGCAGGATTCTTCGAAGAGAGACACTAGGATGGAAAATGAGGCAAAACCAAAAGGTCTTAAGGAAAAATGGAGCTGCGCGCCACTCCAGGTCCCCCTCTGCCTTCAGTCTGAAGCGCTGCCTGTCCGTCTCTGCACCAGCTTCAGAAGGTGAAGTTGCCTTGCCTCCAGACCTGTTCGCCGGCAATATAAGTGGCCCGTACGTGGAGACTCTCATCCAGCAACACAAAATCTGTCAAAAAGAGGAAATGATGCCTCTCTGGCCCAAGCCCAGGACTCTTGCCGTGCTCTTAAACCCCAGAAGAAGGATTGATTGGGGACCCTAATTCCCAAAATTTCCCTCGGCCGTGCTGGCTGTGAAATTCCAGGAGCTGCGATTCCAAATGCATTTGGAGAGCATCAGGTTGGGACAGGGCAATGTAGGATCTCTACGCATGAAGAAGCAGAAGAAGCCTTTTGATAGCCCAGCTGACCGTTATTCTCTCTGACTCTGGCAGTCATTCTCCAGCACAATTTTTCCAATCATCTGCTCCCTGATGCATTCATTTTTCCCAATTTGAGGCCCCAGGAATTGACCTTAGGGTCTTTTGCATACAAAGCATATATTCTCAGGGCATGAAACAAGGATACTCCCCCTTTCAGAAATACAGGATGACTCAACCCAATGCTGGCCTGTAAACAACTGCATGGTCTGACGATAGCTCTGCCTTTGGTTTGCTGAAGCTAAGTTGGTTTGGGCTCCTTGGTTCTGGAGGGGAGATCACTAGGGAATCCAACTTTGGATCCCACAATTTAAAAAAAAAAAAAGGATCATAAATGTAGTAGATCAGATTTCTCCAACTTGGTGCCTCCAAATGGTGCCTGTATCAAAGCTCCCGTAATTACCCAGCCTAGGATTGTTGCTAGGAATTTTGGGAGTTGGTATCCAACTCATCCAGGCTCTACAATCTAGGAGAGATGGACGTGACAGTTTCAATCAACCCCAACTGGAGTCCTCACAATGGGTTAGACTACACCTCCCATAATTTTTCATTCACCAAAGGAGGAGGAGGCAGGTGGGCCTCGCCAGGGAGAGGATTCCATGAGTGCCTGAAATCCTTACAACACACCTAAATTCTAAAGGGTGGAAGGTGGAACAGGAGGGTAAGAGATACATGGTCTGGATTCCCCCACCATCAAGAACCCGTGTAGTGCAGAGTAGTGGTGAAGGTGTTGGACCAGGACCAGGACGGTCCAGATCCAGTCCCCCTTCAGCCACAGAAGCGCTCTGAGTGACTTTCGGCCAGCCCCTCTCTTTCAGCTCAGCCGACCTCGCAGGGTTCTCAATGGATTCCATGTGGACCTCCCCCAGAAAAAGTGTCATCCACCTGCAATCCTGACCAGAATAAAAATAAAATACCTGCATCAGAGTCATAATCCAAGGTTCCCTTTTGGTCCTTGATATTTAAGAGCTGAGCAGGATGGAGGGAGGCTGCCTCCAGGGCTGTTTCTATCGAACAAGCTGCAAAAAGAAATGGAGGTGGTTTTATTTTTTCATTAAAATCAGCAAAGGCAAAGGGTTCTTCTCTTTGGCAAGAGAAGCAGTGCCCATGCCATAACACTTCCAAATAGGCAGGGGAACCCTATGATTGACTATGTCTCTGTGCAAATCACATATTTTTAAGATATGTCTGCAGACACGCAGAGGAGAATGCTAAGACCCTTCCCCCTGCCGTGCCGACTTTCCAAAAAGCATGGATTTTTATTCATTTTTGTACGGAGAAGCATATTCTTTCCAATGCCCTGATTGTCTCTGTGCAAATCACATATTTTTAAGATATGTCTGCAGACACGCAGAGGAGAATGCTAAGACCCTTCCCCCTGCCGTGCCGACTTTCCAAAAAGCATGGATTTTTATTCATTTTTGTACGGAGAAGCATATTCTTTCCAATGCCCTGACTTGCGACCAGGAACAGAGATGTTCTGTGCCGCTCTGAGAACGCAAAGAAAATACAAGCATCAAATATATTATAAGATTCCCCTCCTTCAACTTTAAAAGACTCAAGATTGAAGTTGGACTCGTTTCTTCTCTTCTAATAGGCTACAAAGGGGCTGGCTTAGTGTCACGGCTGGGTTTGTAAACTAGGCTTCATTGAAGAATGTAGAGTTTGTTCAACAAACAAGGAGGAAAATGTAACATGGGATCACATAACAATATGTGAATCTACCAGTATTTTTCCTGCAAGTGAATGAGTTCACATGACACAGCAGCCATCTGGTTTATTTTGCTTTGGATTGGTGTTTCATGTGAACCTAAGCCTTTGTAGACTGGAAATCACAGTTTATGGCCTAGTAGGTTGCGGAAACCCAGCTAGTTGTGACCTATTCTAGAAACACTTAAACCATGGCTTAGCATAGGCAACCACAGCTATTGGAAAGGTAGCTTGTTTTAAGATAGAACAGTCTTCCCCAACCTGATATTCCTCAGATATCAGGGAATCCCAACTCTCAGAAACACCAACCCCATTTTTGGCCTTTTCATCTGAAAAAGTAACCGGTTGGAGAGAGAGTTGAGTCATCAAGAGGGCCACCCCTTTGGGGGCTACAAATAAGTGCCCAGCAGATCTGACTCCCCGGGAGATGGCAACTCCTTGCCTTAGTGAGCCAGAATCTCCTTACCGGTGGCCTCTCTGAAATGCCGGACACAGGAATCCATGGTGGAGATGCTTCCACTCAGCGTTTTGGTACCTGGAAAGAGGTGTGAGGAGGAGGAGGAGAGAGAAAAATGATCAGCTAAATGCAAAGGCAGGGGGGTGGGGATGATGGGAACTGTAGTCCAGCCCAAAGGTTTGCAGAAGGGACCCTTCTGGGTCTTGGGGAAGAGCTTAGGGAAAAATCAGCCCACGTGTTTGAATGGCTAAATGAGATTGCAGTCTTACCTGCAATGTAGGTATTTGGTCCTTCTACCTCTACCACCAGCTGGCCCAGTGTGTGTCTGCCAGGGGGAAGTCCCATTGCTGGAATGGCATCTGTCACCAGGACCAGCCCTAAGGAGGGATAATTTGGGCCTCTTAATTCCATCTGAAAATAACCTCAATCTTCCACTAAGCCATAACATGGTTAGTTCGGTTATCACATACCACAATGAATGAACCTAGCCATTCGCAGCTTATGCATTATATGCAGACAGGGTCAACATCTTCAAAACAATGTTAAAACAAACCATGGCTTAGTTTGAGTGAACGTAATCATATGGGGGTGGCTTGCACCTTGAAGACGCTCCCATATGTTAACATCTTTTCAATCACCGGCATCTTGGAAGATATTATTATTTATGTATGTGTTTGGTTTTGCTGTATTTTTATACTGTTTTTATTGCATTTTAATTAATATGTATTTGTTGTTTTATTGTAAACCGCCCAGAGTCACTTCCTCGTGAGATGGGCAGTGTCTAAATCCGAAATACATATATATAAATAAATATAATAAATATTTATTTATTTATTTATTTATTTATATATTCGGAAATATATACCATAAATAAATAAATAAATATATATATATATTCTCTCTCTCTGATGTACTCCTCCTTATATCAAAACCCTCCTAATATCTACAGAGCCAAACTAACTAAAAAAGATGCCCCTTCTCATCTCTTGGGAACTGTCACCCTAAAGAAGACACACCTTTAGGGTGGGCCCGGTGTGCGATTCGCAGAGCAGCAGGATTCGTGTGGATCCCATCTGAGATCATGCCATAAAACACTTGCTGGCCAGGAGGAATCTTGTCACTTGTGAGAAGTCCCACGATCCCAGGGTCTCGATGATGGAACTGGACAAAGAATGTCAGGACACAATGCAGTACGTCCACAAGTCCAAGGGGCTGCAAAACCTACTGTTCCATTTCTCTTCTGGACCGCACCGTCTCAGCAATCTCTTCAGAATGGCTGGATCAGTGTGGTGTAGAGGAGAAATCACCATCGTGAGTTCTGTGGAATAGCGGATTTTGCACGTACCTAAATGTGCAAACCCCCAGGAGCTAATTTGATTATATTTGTAAATATAATCAACGTATAAAAAACACCAATCTAATTACTAAAGAAACTGGATTGGAGGACCAAGGGAGCCTTAAACTTGCTCGGCAGAGTCTATCGCCTTAAGATGTGGTTGCTCAACTATTTCAACAGCCATAAAACTTCCCCAAGATTACCTTTTCTAAAAAAATTAAAATCTGGTAAGCCAAAGCTTGAATCAGAGTTTAGACCCAGGTTGTAGAAGGTCAAAAGCATAAATATACAGTGGTACCTCTAGTTACGAACTTAATCCGTTCTGTGACTCTGGTTGCAACTCGA